AATCACCGACGAAAATGAAGGATAAGTTTTTACTTATATGATTTATATGAATGACAGCACAAAATAGAAAGAAAGCCCAACTTCTACTTGCTTATTCTTCCAATGATTTGTTAATTGGCTTGACTCATAAATAATTATATGTGGGGTGCCTTTGTTTACTTTGTTTCATTAGGGAACAAGATTATGTGATATAAGATTAAGAGAAACTGGAATTGTTCTCCTGCCCACAGTAAGCTGAGTAAGACTGCTCACCTACTGATGTGGCGGGAGAACCTAACGTTGGGTTCTCTCTCCGAGTGGGTATAATAAGACTTTCCACCGTGGGCAGGAGAATAGGTCCGTAAAAAAAACTGCACTATGTTGTATTTCAAGAAGTTAAGTATTGAAAAAGAAATTATTGGGCATTGTCCAACTTAAAAATAAATGTGAAGTTACTCTTACGTAACTTTTTCTGCAAATTTAAATTAGATAACTTACTTTTCTTTTACTTTTTAAGTAAAAAAATATTTTAAAGTAATCCTTGATGACAATTAGAGCATTTTTTAGCCCAATTATTTGGTTAAAAATGTATTTTGAAATAATAATTTGATGGATAATGTGTGGTTAAAACATAAGTAAAAGTTTTGGGATTGTGTGTAATATTATTTTATTGAAAAATGTGTGGTTGAAAAAAAAAGTAGAAAGTATTTTGGAAATAATGAGATCAAACAATAGCTTATTTTCTTGCCAAATGATCGTCAATTTGTCTTTCGCGCCTCATATGGACAGTTAGACAATTGAATTAACTCCCAGCAGCATTAATACCGATGGAATTATTGAAAGTGTAGAAAGAAAAATCGGATATGGTACATACTATACTTGAGCAAGCAGAGCCTGAGCAAAGCATCAAGGCAAATTCATTTGGTCTGCTTGATCAAGCAGCTCTTCGGGAATTCAAGATTTTGAATCTTCTACCACGGAAGGTTGTTTTTTTCATGAGGAATTGCATCCATTCGTACTCGAGTTTCTAATGAGCATATATAGCCCTTGTTTAATAAGAATTAAAATCAAATTTTTAGTATATTTTGATAAAAGTTGATGAAATTTGTAGTTGAAAAGTTACGAGTCCTATAAAATATATAATTAAAATTAATTATTGACTTTGATAAAATTTTAGATTAAAATCTTTACCAATCAAAGTCATAGATGATAGTGGAATTGATCTCCTGCTCCAAGTGGGTAGGATAAAATCTTTTCACTTTTGATGTGGCAGAGAGAATCGTAAGTATGGTTCTCTGAATATATGACTGTTGCAAACAGTTGTAAGTAAGGTTCTCCTACCATGTCAATAGTGAAAAGTTTTTATTACTATCCACCGTGGGAATGAAATCAGATCCGAAGATGATAGTATGGAAATTATAAACAAGTGAGTATGCATGAATACAAGCAGTTGACGATAGAAATCTGATCAACAATTTCTATCACCCAGCTAGAGTTTTCACCTTCTAAACTCATTGCTTTTGATGTTCGAATTGGAGCAAAAGAAGAAATAGCAATTTGAGGGGGAGATATTTGAATTTGCATGGTTTTCTTCTCTTAGGAGAAAATACTTATAGATTTTCCTCAAGGCTTCGGGGGATATTGGGTCATTTTGGATAAGCAACAAATAGCGGCCTCCTATTGGTTTTGTAATCGATTCTATTTTAAGTATCACGTTTTATTCACAGCTTACGAGTCATGCGCTCATTGGCTTAGAAGTCATGCTTTGAATGTATGCCCACGTGTGCTTTAGTAACGATTTTTGGTTAGCCTGGAAGGGGAAATGACTCTCCTTATATGCACACGAGCCTTTTGTATTTTTATTTCCCTCCCGTACTTCCATACCCGACGAACGGGGAGAAGTATGCTTGAGGGGAATTTACTTGTCAACAAAAATCTTCTATATTGTTGAAACCATGAATTTTAGAGTTCATAGTTCCTTTAAGAGTTTTAATCTTTGCTTGATGCAAATATACCAAGTCTTGTATATCATCGAGCTATTTTTCGATGTATCCTATATAGAATCTCATTAATGAGAAGAAAAAATCTCTATTTTAGGATAGAATTTTCATAGCCTATTCAAGCCTTCTTCTTACATTCAGAATTTTCAATTTGTTCTTATGTTTCAAGTCTCTAACCTCTCAAATACTTTCCAACAATCTAAAAGTGATAGACTGCAATGGAAACTGATGGAGTCGAATCTTCAATACATTATTTCCCTTATGTTATTTATTTCTTAAGTTCTTTTTATTAAATAATTTAAGTTTGTTTACGTCCTTCATTAGATTTTAGCAATTTTTTTCCATAGGGGTACTATTTAAAACTCTATGTGGATTGTTACTCTATTTGATTGTTTTTGAAAAATCAATATAATTGTGAGACATTTCTCCCAAATTATTCAATTCATCTTAACATAACAACATTCATGTGCAAATCAATGAGATTGGATTCGTGTTATTGTTCATGTTAGGTTTTTAGTGTTGGTAATTCTGTAGACAAAATAACTAATTTGTAACGTGTTGTAAAAGTTAAGGACCTAATGTGAAATTTGTATAAATTGGGTTTTGAGGTCTAGGGTTCAAGCATGAAAAGAGGAGAAACACGGGGCCACATTTTCCTTAGCTTCTCGCCCAGTTGGCGCTTGAGCGACAAAAACAAAATGCCTGTCCCCGAACTCTCGCTCGAGCGACAGTGCGTCACTCGCCTGTCGCTGAGTCCTCGCTCGAGCGACAGGTCGATTCGAAAAATCCTATTTTTCTGTTTTGAAGTACTTTTTCCAGCCAATTCAACCAATTACCCTCTCCTATAAATACCCAAGCCTATGCACAAAAAGTGCAGTGGTTGTTCATTGTGCCTCTTTGCTGTAATCTATTTTTTCTTAATTTTATACAACCACGGAATTGGGGAAAACATCAAATCCATTTAATCCATAACACCTACTTCCTAAACACTTTTGGGAAAGCACTTTCTCAGTTGAACTTCAGAGGCTGCTGGACGTTAAGAGATGTTGGACTACAAGAGCAGGAAGAGCACAAAGTCTTGGAGCAGGTTCTTAGAATTTTACTTGGAAGAGACAATTGTCGAAGATCTTGGAGTAGACCTTGGAGTTAACAGAAAATAGGTCACGAAGTCTAGTGGAGTTGGCTAGATAGAATCTGATTGTAACTCTCTCTGTATTGTCTATAGTGGAGGTAACTGGCTTGGTCCCGAAATTTTTACCCACTTGGGTTTCTCCGTCATCAATATTGTTACTGCTTTCCTTATTACCGCAGCAATTCAACATAGAATAATTGGACTTGTATGCTTAATCATCTAGAAACAATTAACAGTGACTTGTTGTTTTTGATTGATTAATTTCGCACGTAAGGTCAAAACTAAAAATGGTTAAATAACAACCATTTGGTAACTTAAAACTAAATCATGATGACTAGGACGAATATTAAGTGAAGTAATCACGGCATAAAACTTCTCAAACCAAGCTCGAGATGCCTGTTTAAGACCACAGAAAGCTTTTTGAAGTTTGCAAAGTTTACTAGGTTGATGAGAAACATCAGGAGGGAGAATCATATAGGCTTCTTCATGTAGATCTCCATTTAAGAAGGCATTTTTGACATCCACTTGAGATATACTCCATCGACGAACAGAGACAACTTTAATAAAGGTGCGAATACTAGTCATTTTTACAACAGGTGCAAAAGTTTCATCATAATCCATACCATTTTCCTGAGAATACGCCTTGGCAACTAATTAGACTTCATATCTTTCAATAGATTCATCGACTTGGTTTTGATTTTAGAGACCCAACAAAAACCAATTGCTCTTTTTCCTAACGGTAAAGATACCAAGTCCCAAGTGTGTGTCTGATGCAAAGCAGTAAGTTCCTTAGCCATAGCCTCCTACCAAAGTTGGTCACAAATTACCTCTCTATAGGATAAATGCTCAGAAATACGATGAACAGAAGCTAAAAAGGAAACAGAAGAACTAGAGTAACAAGAGTAAGCAAAA